AGTGAATTAACAGAACGACAAATTCTTTCAGAGATATCCAAATTATTCGACCCCTTAGGATGGCTGTCTCTAATGGCTATACAAGCCCTACTCATCATTCAAGACTTATGGCTAAGAAACCTGAGCTCGGAAGAACCTGTAGATCAAGAAATATCCTCAAGATGCATACAGTTTCAGAGCAAAATAAAATAAGTAGAAAATATCAAAACTCCGAGGTGGCTACATCTGACAAACAACAAAAGTTGAACTCCACGGCTTTTGCGATGCATCAGGAAAGGCCTACGGTGCAATCTACAGTCCAATAACAGAAGAAGACAAGCGAATTATCACGCTCCTGTAAGCAAAATCAAAAGTCGCTCCAGCGAAAAACAGAACGTCCCTACCTCGCTTGGAACTATGTGCAGCAGTCCTACTATCAAAATTGATACAAAAAACTAAGATTGCTTTTCAAATGGTAGACCGGATCCTTACCTGGACCGACTCCATGATCACTCTTGCCTGGATAAAGGGTGACTCTATGAGATGGCAAACCTTCGTAGCAAATAGAGTTTGCGAAATACACAGAAATGCTCCTCAAGTATCCTGGAACCACGTCAGGTCCCAAGAAAACCCAGCAAAAATCATATCCAGAGGATTGGGCCCAGAAAATTAAGAATCAGCTGATTTGTGCTGGAAAGGTCCTCATTGGCTGACGTCTCTCGGCGAAACCCCCACAACAGACCGTATTCCCGACATTCAAAAAGTCAGAGCTACTTGCCACAAAATTGGAGTCACGATAAAGAGTGATATATGGGAACGCTTCTCAAACTTCAGAATGCTCAGGGTACTATCCTACTACCGTCGATTCATAAAAAAAGGAGAAAGTCCTACTCTATCCGTCCAAGAAGTACAAGACACTACCGAAAGAATCATTAAAATGGTGCAACTACAAGATTTTTTCGGAAAAATATAAGTCTTTACAACAGCAGAAGCCAATTGACACAAAAAGCAAGCTACAGACCCTCAACCATTTTCTCGACAGCAAAGGCATAATCCGAGTCTGGGGGAGACTCAAACACTCACCCCTACCCTACGACCAACGGCACCCTATGATAGATAATCCCATACCACTCACACATATCCACATTGGTAGTCACAGACGCGCACAAGACCACTCTATATGGAGGCAACCAAGCAACACTGTCAAACATACGAAGCAGATTTTGGATCATCCACGGCAAAAGAGCCGTCAAAGCGGTTATCAATAAATGCATTGTATGCATCCGTCACAAAGCGGCGACCGCACAGCAACTCATCTCGAAATCGATAGTCCCTCCAGCACTACCATCCACAAACTCAGGAGTGGACTACGCTGGACCCATTCAAGTCAAAGCAACAAAAGGGTCACAGATCATACAAAGGGTACATCGCAGTATTCGTATGCCTAGCAACTGAAGCAACCCACCTCGAACTAGTCAGTGACACGACAACAGAGGCATTCTTAGGCAGCACTCCGAAGATTTACTGCCAGAAGAGGACATTGTGCGAATATGTACAGCGATAACAGAACCACATTCGTAGGAGTAGCACGGGTACCGTAGATGAAATCTCAGAATTAATACAATCACATTCTGTGCAAAACACAAGCGTCAACCTAAGAACACAATGACACTCATCCCACCAGCAGCTCCACATTTCAGAAGAATATGAGAGGCAGTTGTGAAATCTATAAAGCATCATCTCAAGAGAGTAATTGGAGAATGCACTCTGACCTATGAAGAATTAACAACTTTAGTGTATCATATCGAAGCATGTCTAAACTCAAGACCACTCTACCCGCTAACAGAAGTCACAGATAATTTCAACACCTTAACCCCAGGACACTTTCTTATAGGAAGAGAACTGCTAGCACCACCAAGCTTGAACTCGACAGAACATTTTAACCTATCTCAACGATGGAGATACGTGCAAAAATTAAAGAAAAATATTTGGAGCGCAGACTAGACAAAGACAAGAATGGAAGAATCAGCCTAACAATCTACGAGAAGGAACAATGATCCTAATCAAAGAATAAAATATAACCCCCAACCAGTGGCCTCTGGGGAGAATAGTAGAGACCCATTAGGGACAAGATGGAGCAGTCCGAGTGGTAACAATAAAGAAAGCAGGTGGTTCCACACAAAAAAGACCGATTCACAAGTTAATTCCTCTACCGATAGAAGACACACACCATTTACCAACCATCAAATCAGTCAGAAGTGAGGAGATCAGATCGTCTACGTGACGTAGCATCAACATCAACAAATTCATATTTATTGTTCTTCCTAGCAGTCATGATGATGATGATGATCACAATCGCCGGTGCAGAAAAAGGATTTGAAATCAACTATCCGCAACATGGATTCTACGTTGAACACCTTGAATGAATAGAGGTATTTTCAGAATAGAATCCACATATCCCAAGAACAAAGCCTTATCAGAGGTGTCCATCGTAGTTAGCCAGTTCAGAAATATGTTCAACCAATCCAAGAAGCTTACCGATGACGTCAAATGCACATCTCTCGTAAAGCATTTATAAGAGAGGAAAATCACTCTAAATGTATATTCGCGACCATGGGCGACATTCACCCCAGAACCAAGAGAGGACTGTTTGGAAAATTTTTGCCTGCGGTTTTTGGAGTGAATGACGAAGTATATCAAAATATCGATGCAATCAACAATAATCAGGAAAAACTCATCAGAGCATCCAACTACCAAACAAAGTTCATGATTTCGGCCGTCACAAAATTTAACGAAACCGAAGCCAGAATCACGAAAAACTACAACATTTTCGGAAACGACTCAACGAAAGAATAGAAGCTATCAACAGCATGCAGAATTGGTACAAACAAATAGACACCAATGCACTCAACGTTCACCTATTGAGTGCATACAAAGTAGCCACCAACTTCATCAGCGAAACCAACGAGCACTACGATAAATTTCTGAACATTGACTTCAACAGAGGTATGCATATGGCCAAGTTTCACCAGCATATATCAACGCCGCCATTCAAAAATCCAATCAAAAACTGGCAAACAACCTGGAAATCGTTTCCGCAGCATTGTCGACAAGAACCGATAGTTTTAGAGAACTAGTAAGAGAAGAGGCGAACCTCGAAGATCGACTTGATAGCACAGTGTGGCGCAGCATTCATCACCACTCCGCAGCCACCAGACCAAAACGAAGAAATAGAGCTAATGTTCCTACATTCCTCGATTCTGGAGAGGCAGCAGAATGTTTAATTAGAACATTTAAACAGTAATTAACCTTCCACAGCGTAATTTGACCGACATCGTATGTTTCCCTTTTTTATTATTTAATTTAACCCTTTAACGTTCTCTGGTGTAAACCTAGTACCACCTTGTTTATTCCTTATTATAACCTGAAAATCTGGTTTTAATGCATCCTAAAAACATCGTCATTCAATATATGTTAGTCTCCGACGTCAGTTAATTAGAAGATTTTTCTGGATGCGGTCGCATTTTTGAAAGTGGTACACCATATATACCAGTGGGACTCGAGAAGCATCAATTATGTTGTTTTATGTACTTCAATTCATATTTTCATTAATATTTATAATCCGGAAGGGATTTTGACGAATCAAATAGGTAATTATCATCTATATATGTATACTGAATAGATATAAATTCAAAATTCTAATGCTGTACTCAGTTATTTAGTAAAAAACTATACATATTCTCAACCTGGAACTTATTTTGTGAATTTTGTGTACATTTTGAATTATTTTTTCTATAAGTTCTACTCCTAGTTCAAGATTCATATTTTGATACATGCTTCATATACATGTCTCCATGAAATATCAATCAACTTTTCATTCTGTTCTTTTTGCGCTAGGAAAATTTTTCCAAATTTTCTTTCGAATGTATACAATTTCAACATTATTTCCATGTTTTGTGGTATAAAAACGATAATGAACAATTTTAAATCGCACTAATTGTTATTATAATATTTTTCTGATTTGTTTTTGATTTTGTCAATCCAGTTTTCACAATATCTGATGATTAGGAAAATTTTAGGACCTTATTTAGGATCATATGGAAGTAAGATAGGGAATGTTCATTTGTTATAGAGTTTGATGTAATTTTTCTTTAGTTATTGTATATTTCGTTTTTGTTATAACTCTGTTTGAAAGCTATTGTGTTTTTTATTCTGATCCCGCAGAAATTCATTTTATTATTGCATTATTTATGAAGGTGTGGTATAGGGTTTGTACCAGAGAACACTACCTACATATTTAGTCCTAAATGGTCTCTGGTAAAATGGTTTACCGCCTAATATAGCAACGAAAAAAATAGAAAACTCGATTTCTAGTGACAAATTATCTTTTCTTGTTTCCAAAAGACTACATAACTAGCATTTTCTGAATAAAATAGTCTTAGGAAAATTTTGCCCGTTAAAGGGTTAATATCACGTTCAGATTATTATATAAGATTTTCGTTTAAGTCACAATGTTTGGGTAAATATAAAAATATCCAAACATCATAGTTTTTATTTTCAGTATTTAATTGATTAACCGTGGTCACATTCTTTCATGTATTTGCAGTTTTGGTCACGATAAGTTTATCAAAAATTAATATAAAAAGAATGGTAAGATTCGAAATAAATCAATATTCATCTAGCATCAAAAGGTGTTTTACTCGAAAACGTGTCCTGTGCCCAAGTTGGCTCAAGCCTTCTTGGCCATCGCAGAGAGTGAGGCTGCTCTCTGACAGAAACGATACAATTGTCCCGCTGCTCAACCAAGCCGAGTAGAGCAACGTAATTTGCAAGTACAGCCTGTACACGAATAGACTCACTTCTTGGCCTTATGACAACTATTTATTCCTTCATTCGGAGACAGTGATTGTATTTTTCCAAAGATTCCGCTAAATATGATATAGATTAAGGAGTAAATTTGTTGTGAATAATTGCTGTGGATATTTTGGAGAGACACTAAATTTTGTTTTATTTCTTTCCAGGATGCATGAACTTCACCTACGATCCACAAGAATTTGCTGTTGTTATGGACATGGTGATGGACGGAAACTTGGTATTTTCGACAGAACTTTCAGGTAGGTAACCTATTGAATAAATTCCGCTATCAGGGCCAACCCGAATAGTGTTACGATTTATGATCCTCCTACTAACCTCAATTTTATCATTGCATTTATTTTGGCCAAACCGAATGCTATTAAGAAGGGTGTGACCCAAAAATGAAAGTTGCATCTTGCTACGATGTACCGTTTTCGAGTTACGGCGGTTTAAAGTTCCGAGTGCCTAGGCTGTGATGTCACACCGGCTTCAGAGTCAATGATCCCACTCGAGCCAATTGCAACTACCCAAAGTATAGGGCACGATTCACTAACAACTGAACGAACAGAAGGCTGCGATTTCGGAGGTTAGCCTGTGTGATGTCACAAGTTTCCGCATAATTTATATTTATAAGGGATTTTCTTGAATACTATTTTGACTATAGAACTGCAGTTTCCACGAGAGATTTAGATTTTTTCCTAATTTAAGTAGCGTAAGTTGTTTTTTGGGTCACACTCCCTTTAAAAAAAATATAATAACACATCGTTTCTGAAATTGGTACCCACAGTTTTTCGTTTAGGGGACACTGTGTCAATCGCAAGGCAATCGATTTGGCTGAAGGTCGTGATATTAAGACGTTAAAGGAAGGCATCAAGGATTTTCTCAACGACATATAGATTATGACCCTTATGCCTTTGGGCGAGAAGCTCTGCTGTTATTCTCGAGGGAGATTGCTTTTTGCATCTTTTAAAGGCGTTTTTTCAGATTCAAGTTTTTACTGGCAAATAAGGAATCCCCCAAAAAAACTAGCATAGGTACCTTTTTGTTAAATGCTAAATTTCGACAATAACTAACTTGAAATATATTTCGACTGTTTTATATTGCTTTGACGTTTTTTTTTTTATATAATTAGGAAAGTTGTATGCAAAAGTTGTAGAGTAGGAACAAACGAACAACATTGAATAGTTTTTAAATCTAATATGATGGTTCAAAAAGGTGTGGCGATCAAAAAGATACATTTTATTTTATTTTTTCAATAGCAAACCGTACTTCAATTTCCTCGATAAATTCTCTATACAGTGTGTTTTACGAACATCGGAACAGAGGCGTTTTAGGGTACTTTGAGGTCGATTAAAAAAAAAAACGCTCGGACACGTAATTTTTGTATTTAAGGGGGAAACTTTTTGACGCCATTGGTATTTCGCTAGGGTGCACCCCCTGGGTGGGGTGACTTTCGCCCCTCTTTTTTAGATAAGGAAGATGGATCGATTGTTAACTTGTTTTAAAGGTATTTTGATTCTCGTCACAAATGCGTATTTTTTTTGAAAATCGAATGATTATATATCAGGATATTCACTGTCAAAGTTGCCATTGGCTAAATATGAAACAATCTTCTGGCCCTGTTATTCTCAAATTAACCTTTTCTCGGACACGTCAATTTTTATTTTTTGTGTACTTCTGAAAAAATTAAAATTGACGTGTCCGAGAGGAAACTCTGGAAAGTGTTAATTCGATACAAAAATGACGTGTCTGAGTGTTATTATTTGGATTTTCAGAATTTGGCGACGTTGTCGAACTTTTTCCAAAGATCGGAAAGTAGCAAAAAAAACATGGTCGAATGAAACGTTCTATAATTGATTATAATAAAGATGCTAAAAAAATAGGATAGTGGGAAATATAGAAGAACGGGGGCCTAATTAAAGATCTAAACTTGCTAAGTCTGATAGGGTTTTATATTGTTATGTCAGTGAAAAATGTAGATTTAGATCATGATAAATTCAATCCAATCAAGATGTTATTAACGGGTTGCAACCTAAAATCTGACTATAAACTTTTCTCAGTTGAACGATATTAGTTCTATGATATCCCATTGTGTAAATCTATAATTTTTTTTATTTATTTTTTGTGAAAGTCCGTTTATTTTAAATTATGAGAGTTTTTCCACAGCCTTATCCTAAGTAAATACTTTATCGGTATGTTTAAAACTTTGTGCTTGATTTCATAAATAGAAATGTCTAATTTAAGACTCGTGAAATATCTAAAACAGTGTATTTATAAGCGCAGGCCAAAAGAAGATGTAATTATTGTAGCTGCTTTTGATTCTTGTAAAAAAAAATAGTGTAAGGAGTGTGCTAGAATCTCTGCCACTGAGATTGGTGCAATTACATTAGCTCAGAGACAGCTACCTACTGTTTTATCGAAGAGACTGCCAGTGTTCTCGAAAGCAACAACATTTTATAAAAAACATCATTGAAATTGAAAGTTCAATCTCAACAAATATAGAAAACACCGTTATCAGCCCAGAAAAAGAGTCTGTTGATCAAATTAATGAACTAACGCAACTGAATAATAAGATTTTGCAACAACTGAATAAGAATTAAAGGGGAATAGAGAAGATTGAGGATATGACGACTAGTATAGAAACATTGTCAAAAGATAATGAGGTCTATGTTATCAATTGAAGAAAGCAAACCTAGTGTGAAGCAATAGCAGAAAAATATAGTTCTGCTGATGAAAAAACCCAGAGTTTGTAACGTCCTTCCATCAGAATAAAAGATCGCCCATAATTATGCTTAACAATGCTACTTGCTTGTTTACTTGCGGGAGGGGGCGATTTTTAGAGGGCCCACTGGGCTGTCAAAAAACCAATTTGAATGAAGATGTTGTAATAGCCAATCTAGACACAATCCAAAACATTTATGATAGAATTTAAGGAAACCGGTAGCATAAATAATAATCTGAATAGTAAATTCAACTTATTGCTTGGCTATAAAGTTTTCCAAAGAAAACAAAAAAAGTATTGTAAAATGCAGGTCAATTACAGCAAAATCTCTATACATATACTTACTTGAAACAATTTTTATTTATATTCTGGTACTAGAGTCCATATTTGCAAGAATTACATGGAGGTAATTTACCTGTATTACTAGATAAACAAATACATAAATAAAATAGGATTAAACGATTGGATTTAGGGATCCAAAAGCAGTGAAATTCTACTGCAATCGACTTATAGCTTTTAATTATTTAAATTTTGGGATAAAGCGGAATGAGCTCATTTGCATTTTTCGACGGTAAAATAAGTAGAAAAAAGATTGATGATAATGTATAAATATTTCGAAACTGCTGTAGAGATGATTTATGATTTGAAAAAATAACGATAATAGTATATTATATACCTGGGTAGAGAAGTTGGTCATTATAGGACGTCAGTCGCTACAACTAGCAACAATATACTGCAAATAAGTACGTTGTCAGATTGTCGTTGCCATTGTCGATTTCCAAGATTGCCCTTAGAAATCTCGTTTTTATCCTTGCATTATATAGTTTTTGTTGTATTTTTTAGACTTCGAGAAATTAATGTAATTTTTTGATTGTTAGTACGTTCAGTTAAGGAATCACGACATTCAGTTTTGCAATTACATTTTGGTTTGTTTTTTAAATGTTGTGTCAACACAAATTAAGGTTATGTTGACAAGCGCTAAACGAACAAGATACAAATAACGAATGAGGAATTTCATAGTTGTCACTCTTCAGAGCTTAGACAAGGAAAGCATTAAAGATATGCGTCAGAGCCATTGAGAAAGATTCTTATTGGTGTATATACGTCATACAGTGCCGCCATTCCAGTACATTTAAATATGTGGTATGAAAACAGCATTTTCAAAAATAATTAAAGAAAACGCATTTTAAAGCTAACTACTGGAAGCAAGGGTATTTTTATTTTGAAGATGAAAAATGAAATTCAAAAATGGTGAAGCTCGCCAGTGGACAATTTGACACTCACACAAGTCTGCTTCGACGATCTCGCTGTGGACCAAAGCGGCGGTGGAGACTATCACTGATTGGAAAGGGGCCAGTGGCCCACGTTCTGGACAAGGCTCTGGAGGTAATTCTTTGATCGAGGTTGTACGCTCTCTAGAAACTTGTCAAAAACAGTCCAGGCAAAGGTGGGTTTCAGGGACCTAGAGAAGGCAGCACTTTTCGTCAATCGGTATCAAAACGTCCGTGACTGGATCACCACACGGCGTCAGTGAACGGATCTCCGAAAGGCATCAGTTAGCGGGTAATCAACGGGATCAGTGACTTGGTGACCCTACGGTTCCTGTCTCCATAAAGAAACATGGGGATTTGGTTAATGTGAAGATAGAATATAAGAAAACCCTGTTAGGGCCGGAAATAGGTCTTAATTATTACTCGTCGATCAATTTGCACTCGAAATTGTGCAGGCAAGACTCGGTGTTGTTCGTTTTCGGAATTTTTGAACCTCGATGGCTCAAGAAGCACGTGATTTTTCCTGATTTTTAGGCTCAGCTGCGGTAACTGAAAGGGCTTTCAAATATACCGACTCGGATTTTTATATCATCCATTGAAATTTTCACTTGTCAAGTTTCAAAAGAAAAAAATGGTTTTGCTTACACGAGCTTTCATGTTCAGAGCAGCGAAATGTGTTCCGAGTGATCTGATACTGATTTGAAATCTGAAGTAAACAAATCATCCGTCGTGAATTTATCAGCTGTTAATTGTTTTTTTTTTCCGAAAATTAATGAAAACACCAGTGATTAAGTTGTGAACGCAAATATTGAAATTCCTTGGAGATAAAGTGTTGTATGGCATTCGGCCCCGAAGGTCTTTGTGTGCTTTGCTCAATTGCAGGCCTCGCGTCTGCTTTCAAACCTTGAGCTCACCACAAAAAGAACCTGGGCCTAATAACATAAATAACTAATATTGTTTGCTGGCAGATACTCAATTTTCTAATAATAATGCGACGGTTGACGCTTTCAGTTTTCTAAGAGATTTGTTTATCCCCAATGCAGTTTTTTTAATCCTGCCCATATTCAAGAAATTGGAATGGTCACTAAAAAAAAAAAATTATACTCTTTTGGTTGGGATGGCATATTCTTGAAAATAATTATGTAGCTCCCAGAGCAAGAGCTATAACGCTCAAATATCGGAGAATCCTGCAGACATTATTTTTTATCATTCGGAATATTCCACTGGCATGTATATTTATATAAGAATTTGTTTGCCTTACGCATGA